TCAAATGTGCGACTGCCTGACGATGGCCGACAAAAATTTCTGACATTCAGAAATTCTTCTGACTGACTGCTGTTTGGGAGAAATTGATCGGTCCTCGTTCCCCCTGTACACTGCAGGCAAATGACGAGGCTGAAATTCGACCTGACTCTAAAGTGAGTCGTGCGTTTCCAAAATCGGGTCAGAAACGGGCTTAAATCGCATAGCGTGTGCCCAGAGCCGTGGTTTGCGAGGTCCCACCCATATACCAGGCAGACTCACTCGCAAGCAGGGCTTAGCTGTCAATCATGACGTGAAACCCCTTTTTATAGCTTCAAATATGTAATTAAAACCAAATGTATCCGGAAAAACACTTTAACATACATCAGCATGGGGGAGGGGCTTGTGACTTATACTGCAGCCAGCCACCAGGGGTGATGAAACCTTTTGGGGAGCTCTCATGTTGTCCATCTTTACATAGAGTCAGTGATAGGAATGAGTGGGACAGACTTTTAAAGCAGATTGGGTGTTATTGGGAGAAATAAATTGCACCCAATAAATTGTTGGCACTCTTTGTAAGTACCTATGTATTAAACCAGCCCTGTCTGGAAGGGCAGCATGTTTAAAATTAGGGTATTAAAATGCGTGAATGTAAAACCTGTACTTAATGTGTTTCCGGCAATAGGAGGATACCCAGCCCCGTGTTTCACTCCTATGGGAGGTAATGAGGACCTGCCTGGAGGAACTTCCCTCGTCAGGGTCTCCATGTGAGTAGCTATGGTTACACACTGTTGCTGTAGTTACACACCATAGTCATGGTAACCGCCTTTCCTTGTGTTAGCATGTGGCGTGACACATTGTGGATCCATAGACTGTATATGGATCCTATCCTTTTACACACTGTGTCCTGCACTGCATCAACAACTGAACGTGAACACTTGATTGTTGTTGGGCATTAAAGTAAACATAACGTGTCAACAATCTACAAATGATGCAGGGAGAAACACAGACTAAACCACAGGTTGAATAGTGTAGTTTTGCCACAGAATGACAGCGTAACCTAGGGTTAGGGGAGAAGGGGGGTTGGAGCGTGCAGTTGATATTGACTAGCACCTGTGTACAATGTGCTAACCTCGACAACCCAGCTGTATTCTAACGTTAACATAGCTATTAGGGCTGAACAAACAATCCTTTTTAAATCGAAATTGCGATTTGAAAGAACGCGATTAGCTAATCGTGAAGACGGTGATACAAAATGTAGGTTAATTATACAGCACATCTGACCTGTTTTAAGCAGTCATGAAGTTACAAATTCATTCCGTTGTTCCGTTCCTCTACAGCTAATGTCCTGTTCCACTCTGAATGTCTGTTTGTGTAGGTTGATGATGGCTGGCAGGACAGTGGTTATCCCTCTTCCTGTCTCCCCCCACCCCGAGCACCATGCAGCAAGCACTACGTCACCTCCAGCTGATGCTCCACCTTCCCTCCTCGCTCCCCATCCTGCTCCTCAGAATAATACAGCCCAGGCTGTAGGCTGATCTCCAGCCGAGCCGCAAACAGACTCTTTAGCATTCTCAGAACTTATTTTGTTTTGCTTTGAAATGCTGATCCTTTTCCCACATCTGTCCCACAAGTTATTATTATTATTTTTTAAATCCTTCCACTTTACAAATGTGTTGACACCTTTAATTGTTTTGTTTTTTACAATTACTCACCACATTTTTCTTCTATTTAAAAAAAGTTAAATAAATGATGGAAATAATTTTTCCTTGAAGGTTTAGGGCCTAAATCTGGCCTTGAACCCAGATGTGGATTCATCATTTTATTTAAAAATATAAGAATTATAATTATTCTTAATTATAAGAATAAAAAGAAGAAACAATTAGATTAGAAAAAAACATTAGAAAAAAGGACAAAAAAAAGCATGTAGTTATTTTTAGATGTTAAACTACAATTTAATTATTTCTTTCTCTAAGGTTTTTTAAGAAAAGGTTTGTCACTGAGAAAATACATTTAAAGAGTACAACAGAAACATCTAAATGGCAGAAATGACCAAAAATTAATAAACACATTTTCACTTATTACATTTTTGTATCCTGTGGTGTTGCTTCAAACAAGAACTGGGTTGAAGTTTGTTTGTATTTATGTGATTGTAAATACAATATTGCTTTAACAGCTAATGATGTTTCTTAAAAGCAACCAAACCAAAGAGGCTTTAACCCAGGAGATCAGGATCAGTGTGTTGTGCCCATGTGCACACAGTTAAGATGGGATCATGTATGTTTTTAGTCATCTGTGCCCTCTTCTGGACATTTTGAAACAACTCTGTCTTTCATGCCAAACCAAGCTTACAGAGGAATGTTTCCTCCACAAACTCTTGTTTTTGCTGCCTTTCTTTGTTTTCACACCTTTCTTTTGCTAGTTGATCTTGAAATAGCGAATGTCAACAAATCCTGAGACCTGATTAACAGAGAACAGGCTTTATATCTAACTATTAGTCATTTATCTGCTGGAGGAGCTGCAGAGGTGGACATTAGTCCAGGAGCATTTGATAATGTAGTGAAAGCCACACAATGTAATAGCTTGTTAGTATGATAAAATGTCCCTCAATTGGCCAAAAATGTTTAACAACAAAAGAACATTGCTACATGTGTAATTATTGCAATAAATTGTGATTATGACTTGACAGTATGTAATGTACCTATAGGATGATGCTGTCATAATGATTACATGAGTCTTAGAAGGCTATGATTTAATTAGTTAAAACTACACTCCTTAAGACCTTACAATAACTGCTCTTTGTTATCTGTACTGTTACATTACCCAGAAATGTGTTGTATTAACAGATTTCATTACTTGTGCAGCCCATTAAGATGAACTTTTTATTGCATTTTGTTATTCTGCAAACATTAAAGTCAACTGCTATGTATCCTGTCAAATGTCCTTGTCCTTCCCTGCAATGTAAATATTGATTTTATTGATATGAATTTAGTTAGGACTAAGGACTATTTCATAGTTCTTACAGGTTTAATTGCCAGTGTTTTGTATGACAGTATGAATCTAAGATGAGACATTATATTGATCATTCTCCTTTCATTTAATATCTGATGGTTCTGTGGTGTTTTAATTGAGTTCTCTAAATAATCTTTTGATGTCTTAAAACATTATTTCTGAATGATCCCCAGCCATATCCTAAATTCAATGACAAAAACATAGTCATAGCTTTTATACTTTTCACCATAAGTTCATTGTTTGCATTTTCTCAGTTAACAGCATATAAATAGCAATAAAATGTCCCTGGGCGTCATCCAGGCACAACAGAAAATTTTGGATTCAAACAAACAAAAAAAGAAGCAAAATAATACGGCAGTGAAACACTTCATACGTGACTAGAACTTGTGGGCAGTGTTTGAATAGGGGAAGGGGTTAAAGGTCGAAAGTGATTGTATGAAAGAGAGACACAGACACAGTGAAAAACAGATTGTACACAGAGAAACGTGGGACTGTTCTCTGTTCACCATGGATTGTTCACCTGGAGTACTAATCCTGTTTTCTCTTTTATGTTCAGGTAAGGAATCTGATTTACTTTGAACAGAGTAGCATCTGCATTTTACAGAGCTTGTGTGTTAACTGGCATTGACGTCTGTAGAGATGTATATAATTTTTGCATTTTCAAAGGATCACAAAAAATGGTGCTCACACAGCAATACAAAAATACATGGAAGTACATAAGCAGTAGTGCATCCTTTTAGAAGCAGTGATTACTTCTGACTGTTTTCATTTGAGCTACTTTTCCCTTAAGCATAAGTCCCTATTATTAAAGCTGCTGAAAGCATTTTCTGTCATCACTAGCAATGGGGACGTTTCTGGGAGGAAAACTTTGGCGGTTGTTGTATTTCTAAATGTAATTTTTCAATACTTTGAGCACCACTAACAAGGTAGAAATATCAAAATCTGGGCAAATAAAACCAAAGCAATCTGGATGGCTGCCAGTTTTTGTAATTTGGGTAAACCAGCCCTTTAATGTAGTAATATTTTAGTTTTAACAACAGTGAAAATTTTTCAGTATTCCTCTCTGACACATCTTTTTATTACATGTTTAAGCTTTTATTTCTTTTTTTTGCTTTGTCATCAAAAGCACTTCCATTCAGTCTGTGTATTTGCTCAGGTTGTTTGCTCTGGGGTTAGTGTTCGTTTACTCAAAGGTTCACAGAGTTGCACTGTACCTGCGTGTGTGTGTGTGGTGTTGCCAGTTCTCTCTTTCTGTGCAGTGGCTGGTCAAGTTCCGGTTGTCTCTGTGGAGCCCCGGGCAGCTACTGTGCGCCAAGGGGAGTCTGTCAGCTTTAGGTGCCAAGTGGGGAGCGGTGCACAGCCAATTCAACTGGAGTGGAAGAAAGCCAATAACCAAGCATTACCAGGTCAGGAGTAATAACATGTAAGCACAAGCATCGTTCATACAATATCACCATCTGTGAAGCTTCACTGAATTCTACCTTTTGCTTCTAGACAATGTGAAGATTGGTCCTGATGGCTCTGTGCTGACGGTTGCTAATGCCCGACCTGGAAACCAGGGCCAGTTCCGCTGCGTGGCAGCCAACTCTGCAGGCCGCAGCACTGCCACAGCTGTACTGAACGTCAAATGTGAGCTTGTTTTTCGCAATTCACTTAGAAACTGTGGCCCTCCTGAAAGAGTATTCTATCTTGCCTCCCTTTTATCAAAACTAATTATACCAAAATGTTTTTGTTGTTTGCAACTTGTTTCCACATGCCCCCAAGTGGCCAATAACATTAGTTACTGCAGGTGTAACATGTCAGTCACGCCTGCGTGTCCTCTCTGTCAGTTGCTCCCAAAGTGCAGCTGACACCAGCAGGGCCCCTGCAGGTCAGAATAGGTGACCCGGTGTCAGTGGAGTGTAAAGCCACAGGCAGGCCACGGCCCAAGTTGACCTGGAAACGCCAAGGATCCTCCCTGCAGCTGGTTACCCGGGAGACAAATGATGCCAACACAATAGAGGTGAAATATAAACACAAGGACCAGTAATACTTTAATTTATTTACACATTTTAAGATAATAATAATAACAGGATAATAATTTCCACTTTATTTCTCAGTGGCCTGCAGTGCACCCAGAGGACTCAGGAGTTTATATTTGCCAGGCTGAAAACAACGAGGGGGTGACAGAGGTCAAAATTGACATCATTGTTGAGGGGGGGCTGGGAGCACCAGTGGCGTCAGTGAGCACTACAGAGATGACAGTCGTGGAGGGACATACAGTCACGATGTCGTGTCGGGCTAGTGGTAAGATGGTTTGTGTGCCTGTGTGTGTAAATATCTCTCAGTGTTGCTCTCAGTTCTCGTCTTTCACTTCATCCTTTCTTTCTCATCTTCATTCCAGGTTCCCCCCTCCTGTCATCACCTGGTCCAAGCTACGAGCACCGCTGCCATGGAAACACACAGAGGATGGTGGAGTTTTGACACTGACCAGCGTGGGGCGCCAAGATTCAGGCCAATACATCTGTAATGCAACCAACATACATGGCTACAGCGAGGCGTACACGCAGGTGGAGGTGGAGAGTGAGTCGACGCCGCGGACAATAAACACTGACGGTGAATATCCAGTTTGTCTGTCACTGCACATGATAGGAGTAATTGTCTTCTCCTTCATGCAGGTCCTCCGTACGCCACCTGCCTGCCTGACCAGGTGAGGCTCCGGCAGGGAGATGCCCTGGTCGTGCAGTGCCTTGCCCATGGCTCTCATCCCATTCAGTTCGAGTGGAGCCGGGCAGGCAGGGCGAGATTGCCTGCAGGAGCAGAGACCACAAAGGATGGTAGGCTGCTCATAGCCCACGTTAAACTGTCTGACAGCGGAACGTACAAGTGTGTGGCCACCAACCACATCGGCTCCAGTGAGGCACTGGCCAAAGTCATCGTAAAAGGTGAGCTGGTGTTTGGCCTGAGGCAGTTCAACTGACTCTCTACTCTGTCTTTCACTCTCTACTCATTGATTTCTATCTTTGCTTATTTTCACAGCTTAATCCACTGTGGTCTCAACGTCTGATTGACAAACCATCTATGCAGCGATTACAACCTCTGCACACCTGGTTTGTAGCCGTGAGGACAGTGAAATGGTTAATACTGACAAAACAGAGAAAATTATATTTAATAGATTCATTTATTTTGATGTATTAAAGTGAAATATATATGCTGTTTAAACTTTTTTATTGTGCAGATTGGGTTAATTATGTTTTTTTCTTAGAAAACCGATACTGTTGCTAGTATTGCTCCTATCTCATATTTGCCTTTGGAGAGCTTTTCTCTGGATCTGTGTGTGGACCAACATCCTGCACTACATGTGTAGGAGTTTCCCCTGCTGGAATGTCTCTGCACAATGTCCTCCTCCCTTTATGTCATCTGATCTTGTCCACACTACACTGTCTAAACTGTTCTAATATAAAACCCTTTATAATGCCATTAATTATTAAAACAATAAAGACCAAATAAAATAATGTATTACACATTTTTTTGTTTGAAGTGTATCCAGATTAGGGGTGTACAAAAATGATGAGGAGTGGAGAGGGGCTGGGCACAGAAAAGTGGGATGGTATTGTCTGGATGGTTTTGCTGTCTTGGAAGAGCAGGGGACGGGTCTTTTTGTAAACTCCAGATTTATAGTTTATTTCAGCCTTCCCTTGCGATATATATATATAATTAATAGTTAAATCGAAATAATCATACCAAAAATATATCTTTCGTGTGTGTCATGATTCAGTAGGGTGCACTTTACTATGTGCAAAGGACAGAAGTTGATCTTATTTTATTTATTATCTCAGTTTTTAAAAAATTTATTAGCCTACATTACCCACCATGCAGAGGGTTGCACTTTTTTCCAAAGTCCAGCTAAGGTCCAGCACTCCTCCACACTCCACAATTAATCCACACACACACAGTCATTTTTGTACAGTTCCTTAATGTTTACATGTGGTGTCGTTTTGCCATGTGAATGCCTTTACACATGACAGATTATAAAACTGGTTTCAAATGTGAACATCACTTCCCATAGTCCTTTCTTTAACCACATGGTGGCAATATGTAGCTTTCAGGCACACACACAAGTTGCCTTCAGGCTAAAGGAGAACATTTTGAGCCCTTACACCCTGGCAGTACACATGGATTGCACAGTCAAGCTATTGTTTTCCAAATAACTGCATGTCACCCCTAAGACTAAAACTCTTGGCTGACCAGTGCAGCTCTCTGAGTAAATAGGACTGTAAACTCCTCTTGAACAGGCAAAGTTCAGTTTGATCAGTCAAACGTGTTGCAAACTGACACACCGATGGCCATGTTGTTGGAGACCTTGGAAAACAGCTTTCACTAAATGAGGTGTTAGCCCGACATTTAGGGTTTGTGGCTGCAGCAGAGGGTTTGGAAAGAGAGCTACCATTTCCAGAGCAGCTGCCAGAAGTGAGCCTATATGTGCTGCCTGTGATTGTGGCCTCCCTTGTAAAACGCCCGACCTCCACAGAGACGCAGGCTTTATTCTTTTCACTATTCCTCTCTCCATCTTTACAATCGTCTTCAAAGCTGGGGAGGAAACATCTGACCTCTGTCACGTCACTCCACCCCCTCACTTCACAGACAGCTGAGGTAGGGAGGGAAGGTGAAGGAGACAAAATAAATGAACTACAGAGGATGTTAGAGGAAGGAAATCTACATATATTTTTAATTTAGAACGATAAAGTGCCATTGAGCTGGAACAGAGGGAATGTATCAGTGACTGAGAGGAAACTCTAATTCATTAAATCTGATCCCCCTCTCTCTCTGTTTACGCCTTTGTATACATATTAATGAGACATGGACATATGGTCTCTAATGGAGTCTGATATAAACAGTGAGGTCAGATGACATCCCAGAAAAGTGATGTGCACACACACTCACACAGACGGTTTGTCACAATTTCAGAAGCCTTACGTTAGTTTACATTACAGTAGGATTACACAACAGTGTTGCATTTACTTTGGACCACACATTGCTTATGTTAGCCTTAAGAGGTGAGGAAAAAAAACAAAACAGGCAATCAGTCTTGTCGCTGTATCAGCACACAGGGAAAGTAAAATACTCCATGCCATATATTCAAAAAGTGTTACTGTTTTTTGGATAAAGACCAGTGTGATGTCCCTGTAGTAATATGGGAAAAGTAGATCATTCAGGAAGGAGCCAATGAGGTGAGAGCTTCCCCAGGAAGTGATAAGTGGAAGGAGGGCGTCTGTCAAGTCTGTTGCCATGGTTTCCACCTGGTGAACTCTGTGGCAGGGCAGCGGCTTGTAGAAACAACATTTTCTTCAGGACGTAGGAAGGCAAGGTGATGGGTGATAGAGAACAGGAACTCCCCTCTATTGTGTCGGCAGCGGAGCCACGTTGACTACCAGAGTGCATAACATCTCACGCTGCCTTAAATCTGAGCTCACAATGGGCCCTGTTCCTGTTTCTAGCCGGTGCAACAAGAAGCCACAATAACGACGCTGATTTTGATGAATTGGTTCATATAAGTCAGCTGAAATGTTGTCATGCACAGACAGAGGAAGAGTCTGTAATCCCTCAGTAAAAATAGACTTCTGAACTGTCAGGAAGGGTTATGTCCTGGGCTGAACGGGTCTCTATGGGAACAAAATATAGGCAGCATAGTACTCCATTAAACAACTGTTTTTTCTTGCCTTCTCTCTGTTCTGGAAGAATAATAAATGCAGATGGTTAAAAGCTAGGCAGTGGTTCTCAACCTGGGAAAGAGACCCCTCAGGGCTCCCGAGAGAAACATGCAACAAGCAAGATAATTTAATGGTTAAGAAAGAAAAATAAAATTCTGTTTCACAAAACTAGGGGAGAGTGGGGCACAACCCAACACACTCTGGTTTGGACTAAGTAATTTAAAAAATATTTGAGTTTGATTAATCATATTTTATACAAGCAACACTCATCTTTGCTACGAATGAACACTTGAAGTTTGTTTCTAGGACCAATTGCGCTAAATGTCGAAGAAGTGAAAGGTTACAACTTACTCAACTTATGGGTGTCTCAGAAAACAAAAAGTTGAGGAATGCCAAACTTGGACAAAATATAGTAAATGAACATCTTACATCATATATACTGTATATTTTTGTATTTTATACAGGATGTATTAATGGTTTGAGAGTTTGCCACAGTCTAAATGGTGTTAACTGTGGTTAACTGACATGACTGTATTCTAGGCCTGCTAACATGTAACCTATCGTACCTTAGAGTTAATACTGTAGCTATCAATTGAGCAAGCTTTAGCATTATCAAATTCATTCGTTTTTGAACTTGTATTCAAGAAGCAGGTTGCACATTGAATACTTTAAGATCCGGTAATATATTTAAAAACAAAAAAAGTTGAATTGAAGGAATGTTAATTGGAAATAGTTAAGTTTAAATATTCATTCAAATTGCAAAGCCATTCATGAGAGCCATTCACTCTGGGCATTTTAAATGTTTTACAGTTGAAACATTTATTGTGTTATACTGTATGCAAATACAAATGTGTGTGGGGAAGGATGTCCATGTTGTGAGCCTGCAGTATTAAATACATTTACTGTAAGTTAAGACACTTTCCAGTGTCCAAACTCACACGGGGCAGGGAGTACCCTGGCCTTATGGCTCATACAGAATATTGTTGAAAAATATGGAGGTAAAGCAAGTTTATATGAATTTCATATCATTTGAATTTTGAATGGTCTCCAAGTTTTCCATGGTCTTAAGTTTTTGTGAGGGATGATGCCTCACTTAATGAATTCACTTGTCATTCCTGTGTCCCATGTCACCCTTGGTGTAAATTATAAATCAGACCATGAGGGCTCATTTTATGTTTGTGTGAGCTTTCACTTGAGATCTATATTCATGTCCTGAACTGTTAGCAATGCTTGAATATGTGCAATAATAATAACCTAAGGTGTAAGAAATCAGTTTATAATAGCACAATTTGAGGATTATCACATTCACAACACCTTTTTTCAAATTATGTCTGTACAATTTTTTTTTCCTTTAGGGTATGCTGTCTAGAAATGACATCTTGGCTGTGTGGTTAACAGCCATTTATCATTGTGGCAGGAAGTAGCTGTTTGTTAATCACTTTAAAGCTAGCTGTCTTAACTGAACAGGGGATCAGGGGGGAGTTCCATGGATAATATGTACTGGATTTATAAAATGTTGACACTCATAGTCAACACGATCACTTCTCATGTCTATTAGGCCATCACCTGTGACAAGCGGTCTCGAGAAGGAAATCCTTTATTTTAAGGGGTCACAAGCCAAAACCGTTGACTGATGTAAACATCCTCATGAAAGCTGATATAAGCAGTGTTGTAAAACCTTGGTTTGACATTTTGCATCAGAGCCTGGATGTGCTCTATAAGCATATTCACTTTGCTACTTATGCTGTTTCGGTTCCTCGGCTGTAAAGGTGTACAATTTCACACCGTTTTCATCACAGAGCCAGACACAGCACTTGCAAGAGCTACAAGCCCATGCCTGACTTGTGCTATAATAGTTTTGTAACAGTGTAGCAAAGAGGGCTGTATGGCTATTTTGAAATGAAGTTCTCACTTATGCTATTGTGGGACAATCTAAAGTAAAAACCTTTTCAGAATTATTTTGAAATAAAGTGATTCAGACTGAAAGTAGGGTCACTTCCTGTGCCAGAGCCACACACCACCAAGATACCACACTGTCTGAGTTTGAAGTGTTTTGTAAATTAATTTTAATTCTTATCTCTTATTATATTTGTCTAACATATTTAATAGTAGGGCTGTTGTATGTTGGGATAACACATAATAAGAGCCCTGTTGTCAGTAACGCCCAGCAGTGGTTAAAACACAGCCAGCTCCATCTGGCTGCAAATACGCTGCTGCTGCTTGTCACTGAGCACCATAAATACAAACAAGTCAAATACATCCTGTGATCATGGACTTCTCCTCTTCGCTTGAAACTTAAATCACATAATGGGCCATCTAAATAACACATAGTGCACACTTTCACTACCCCGCTCTTTTTCCTGCTTTGCACAAAGTAATCATTTCTACGTCTTTTGAAGCTATGGCAGGTTGCATGCACAAAATCTTTCAAGATTTCAACCGCAATTGTCTGTGCATGTGTGTGTGGGTGTGTGTCTCAATACCTTGCCTCCTGATAGTATGTCACTGGTGGTTGTGGCATCAGAAGGAAACCACTTCAGCTTCGGAAAAAAGGTTGAGCAACACTGGTTAAAAATATGCGGTATAAAAGCAGAAGAAAGAGAGAGGCGCACAGACTTCCACAGACAGTGTTTGGTACAACATGTACTGTCAGTCACATGTTTTACTACTTCTATCTGATAAACCCAACAACATATAGGTTTATGAGTGGTACACTGAATACTGAAATAATATTTTTACTGTTAAGTGCTTTGAAAAACACTGTAATTGTTTTGCTAAAACAACAGTAGGTATGATAGATACTAAAATGGAAACT